CCGTACAGTGAATCATACTTTGCCCCCTCGCCGAACCTCATTCACATCATTTCATTCCCCCCCCCCCCCCCATATACCCCTTTCTATAAAGCCCAAAACCCAAAAGTGTCCGCCACATCATCGCTTCCTTCCAAAAATGTCTGGCTTAAACTCCAAAATACAGCCTACAACCATCCAGGCATCGAGAAAATTCTTTCCTTTACTCTTAGATTCTCTCATTCTCTCACCATCTTGCCCCTGCCCCAAGATTTTAGTCGTAATAGGAGAGATTGCTTGCAAAATAACTACCCGAAGTTAAATGAAACTTAGCCTATCTCGTAGATTTTTGTATGGAATTTTGAATCTGTTTTTGAAAGCACCTTAATTCGGAATCTCCATGCAAAGCTTTACAAGATACTAGGTCACATTTCTAGGTATTTTGGGTTTTAGGTAGGTTTCTAGGTCTTTCTAGGTATTCAAATTTCAGAAGGCCATCTTAACTTAGGTGGGACTTAGGAGAAATTTTCAAGGGAAATAAAACCGCAAATATAAGGGAAATTGAAAAATCTTAAAAAAAAAAAATTTTGAAACTATGTTTCTGGTGTCTTTGGAAAGTGCTTGATACAATGTAGACTGAAAGAGAATACTAGAAAGAAATTTTCCGTTCTATAGGGAGGGCAAGTTGAAGTATAAAACAAAGAAACATGCCCACTTGGGATCTATCTTTTTTTTCTGAAATAAACGATGAATCGTATCGATTTTCTCTAATTGGACAGTCGCTTATTTATGTTTTCATCTTACCGTAACTAATTTCTTAACTAATATAGCATATTCTTTACTTTTGTTTCTTTTTTCTTTAAGTTCCAGGAGGTCCACGTACCAGGACGAAACCTCATAATCCAAACCCTTAAGTCCTGATACGTGCTGATGAGGGTTGGCTGGAATGCTCTTTTCTTTATCGTCCTCTTATTTCTGGCTAAATGGCAACTAAATGACAACTTTTCGATCGAATTATAAGTTTGAAAGCTTGAAAGTATCTTCTTATTCTGATTGATACTAAAATTTTCACTTTAATTGTGCAAAAAACCGACAGCAATGTATAACGGACTAAATTGTGATAAAAGAATCTTTGAAAATCAAGATTGATTGTTTATATACAAAATCTCTAAAATCTACACTTTTAAAAACCTAAAGAGAAGCCAAAGAAACGATTTCTGTTTGAAGAATACTCAATAAATCTGTAAAAACGGTTAAAAGCTGTAGAAACGGGCCTGTTTAAATAAAAATTAGCATTTGAATTGTATTTGTCTAACGAAATCTTTGGCTAAAAAAAGTGATTTTAAATAACCATCACAGACAATTGATAAACTTGTAATTGAAAATGGTTTTGTTTATCGAAACATTAACCCATTAAAAACTTGTCTAAAGGCTGGTCACTCAAAAAGTGATTAAAGCCACTTCAGCTGAAGAAATCTCTCATTTTTTACCTGAAACTCACTCTGATTTTTTTTGCTTACAAACTTTTTGAAATATAGTCAAGTTTATCAAAAAATCTGGAAAGAATTCATGGTTTGCTTTTCGAGAAATCACCGTGCAAACCTTTTCGGAGAACTTTCTTTCCAACCTAATAGTAGTTAACTTCTCGATAAATGTATGCTATATGTTCAAAATTTTCTTTGGAATTGTTTTGAGCCATCAATGCTGTAGACCATTCGGCCATGATAACACCCAGTTTTTTCGCCTTTTACGAAAAACCACACAACTTCCTAATAATAAACGAGTGTGCAACGTTATTATGGATCTCTTCCGCATTTTTATGAATAAAGTTTAATTTGTTGAGTTTATTATATTAACAGTTCATGCTGCATGGATCAAGCGCAATACCTATAAACTGGAAAGTTTACATGCGAATTAAAAGGAAATGTTATTGCTGTTGTGTGAAGCACTTATCAGAACTCAGTTTTATGTCGATGAAACATTTAGGTAGTTTAGGATGGGTGACTCACCGGCCGCTCCAGGGACTCCATCTGGCTCCGGGGAAGGCTCTCCAGAGGACGAGTACATTGGCAGGCATTCACAAATAAATTTTAGATGGCTAACGCGGAGGAATACATTGATGGAACAAACACTGGAGCTTTGGGAGAGATATTAATAAGGTGATTAATGTAACTTTTGTCTAATTTGTTTAAATCTAGATGCAACAACATCCTCTACATTGGAGGCGCCGAAGACCCGGAGAGTTGACCGCCTAGTTTTCATTATTTATCATTTTGCTAACGTTATGAGTGTGTAACGTTATTATTGATCTCTCGTAGCTTTATGAATAAAGTTTAATTTATTGAGTTAATTATATTAACGGTTCATGTTGTATGAATCAAACGCAATACCTATAAACTGGAAAGTTTACATGCGAATTAGAAGGAAAAGTTGTTGCTGTTGTGTGAAGCACTTATCAGAACTCAGTTTTATGGCGATGAAACATTTAACAATGAAATGATGATGAAACATGTAACATGAACGTTCACTAGAAAGACGCAGAGGTGGCGACCTCGCACCGAAAAGGCGGAGACGGTTAGTCTTAGAAAATGGCTTTGTTTACAGCTGATTTAGGTTACCATCCCCTAAACGTAAAGCTTCTCCAGAATGCCGAAGACGGTAATAGAGCTTTGCACCTTTTTTCATGAAAATTATTTAAATCTCGATCACTAAAATCGAGATGCCAGTCCTGAACGGCGGAAACGGTTAGTTTAACCTGGGTTGCATTCAGTAGTAGTGATTTAGGTCGCTAACGCCTAAACGTGCTCGACGTAAAGAATCACCAGAAAAGGCAAAAGAAAATGAAGCTCCTCAAAAAGTATACAAGAAAACTTTGTTGAAGTAAATACATTTTAGGAAAAGAAAGAGCCTGTTGACTTATTGCGTTCTCGCACTGGTGGCGCATACATCCCACCAACGAAGCTGTTTAGGGGGTTTGCTGACTCGATCGATAATTCAAGCACAAGCCTTTTCTCCAACATTTTCACATGTATACGCTGGTTTGGTTGGAGTGATTAATTCCACGTTTCCTGTTATTGGTGAATTGTCGCACTTAAGTATGTTTCACAGTTTTAGGCTTTGGAAATTATGTATTTAGGCGTTTGATTGTGCAGTTCAAGCGATCTTTTCGTCGAAATGACAAAGGAACAACGGTGACTGTCAGTAAATTTCTCGTATATTTGATCAATCAACAAGTGGTATGCTGTTTTTCTTTGAATATGAATCGATGCATATTTAGGCTCACGAGTTGCTTGCTCTTGAGATCATGCTTTTGATGCTGAAATCCATTTAAACGAGAATGAGACAACTCTTCGAGCAGGATGTACATCAAAACCATTTCCCTTGAATTCGCTCAAATGATGGGACTTCCAAAGCTGTATTAAAGAATCTGTGATCCATAAGTTTAAAGATTTTCTAAAATTCAATAATCTTTAGTTTGAGTCTTTAATCAATAAATATGCGTTTGATGGACTTTTTCCTCGGGACAACCCGGCCAATACTCGCTTCGCCATCAATTTCTTCACATTAATCGGTCTTGGTGGACTGACGTAAGAAAGATTTCAGAAAGCTAATAAGTGTATAAATTTCAGGGTGGACCTTCGCGAGTTTTTGGAAAAAAAGGCGGAAAGAGGAAGAAGGGGGCTCCGAATCAAGCATTTTTTTCTTTTTAGCCGGAACCCATTCGCATGCTCGTTGATTGTTGTGATTGTTGATTGATTGTTGATTGTTGATTGTTGTTGAGCTCGCGGAAGACTGGGCTGTAATGTCGCGGTTGGGTTTCTGAAACTCCTTACAAAACTTTAGACGCTCATAATTTTTGAAAGAGTGTAGCCAAAAAGAAAAGCATCATGATCAGTGTGAAACTCTGCGCCGAATGGTCTAAGGCTCATGTGATTTGGGCAGCACATTCAGTTGACCTTCCCAGAAAGTAGTCTTCTGATTTATTCATCTATGCAGAAGCTAGCGAATCGCAGCAATGGATCGAATCCCCAACCTCCCAATCACCGAGGACTGCACTAATTAGGAATGAAAGATCCTTGATAACATATTGTGGATATTTGCGATCCAGGGCGCTGTTCACCTCGCCGAGCAATTGCATGGTCATCACCCCGAGTGCCTGCCATTTTCAGTCTGTTTGTCCTTTCGATTTTCGTCGGGCTATAACGAAATCAGGGAAATATTTGACTCGAAGAGGTTTCTTTGTCATCTGTTTGTGATTTCGTAGTTAAAAAGGGTTTTTAGATATTCTCTTTCACGATAAAGTTACATATTTACATACATATCAAGCATTCCCCTGAGAGACAATATGACTTGGACATCATCGATTGCCAGAAGCTCAAGGTTCAAAGAAAAGAGGCAGCCTTTGTCAGAAATAATTTACAAATCTGTTTGCCGCTTTTCGATCTCTCTACCGTTCTATTATTAAGAATTAAAGATTATTGAATGACGTTTTGCAAAGACTGGGGAACACATGAAAATACCCACATTGCTGTTTCAAACTCCGCGTTTTATCACTCACCAACTTCACACTAACTAGCCGTTTTTTCTTTTGGAATTCCACTTTTTTTCTGTTCGAAGTTCTATTCGAAACGATTGTTTCAACGGCTTAATGAGACAATCGTCGGCTGGAAGGCAATCGCTTTTCTAAACGATATCAGAGCTCTCAAAAGCTCTTTTCCGTCAAAAAAAACAATTGTTTATCGCATCATCGCCTCGTTCGTTCTTCCCATTTCCCCGAATTCAAAACGAATCAACCAATTCAGCGAAATGGGTGTGATGGCGGTCGGTCTATTCATCACGATTCTCCTCCTTTTCCATAAAACATCAAACATCTCCGGATGATCGAGACGTCAGAGATATCAATTCTTTGGTTGGCAAATGCAAAGTCGGTTAAAAACTGGCAAGTGAGGTGTTACGCTCGTTGAAAGACAAAGGTGGGTATTCAAGGTTAAATAATAAAACAAAATTAAAACTTTTGAACATGAATGGAAGGCAGAGCTTCGTCATTTGCACAAAGGTTCGGCTTATTCTGGAAAAAGGTGAAATCTTCACGGAATTCCGAAATCATCGATATTTATTCATTTATTTGTTTCCAATGCATAGTTAATGAAAACATGTTTCTATCAATCTGAGGAAATCTCTTTTTTTCATTTCTTCAGAAATGAACACAGCTCAGTTCTGGAAAAGTAAAGTAAAGGCATTACTGTGGGGAAAACCACTAAAAAAAGTTCTCTAATCCTGGTAGTCTGAATATTGGTAAATTATTGCGGAAATCTTTGCGTCCTCATACTATTTCTTGCCTCAAATCATTGTTGTTTTGTAGCAATTTTCGCTGAAATGAATATTGATTGTTTTCGGTTAACAACTGATGACTAAACGAATCGGGCACTCCCCTCCTTTCCCTTTATTTTCCGTGATAAGAAATCCCAATTTTGCTTGGCAACAAATTTCGTGTTTTTTTGATTTTGTCTTCTCTCATCAATTATGTTTCTTTAGTAGCTGTTTCTTTAATTTTCACTAGTTCTTCGGGAAAATTCAGTCATTTTGTAGGCATCCAATCGTCTAGCAACCGAAATGGACAATCTCTCGAATCCCCAACCCGAAGCCGATCTGTGGTTTTTTCACCAAATCATTACTTCTATCAAAAACGGCCTTTATTTTAATTGAAGAGTTTAGAGAAGAAATGAAAAAGGAGATGAGTCAATTGACATCAAAAATGGCTCAAATCAAGGCGTATTTAATGGGGGAAAACGCGAAGTTGGAGGCTGATTTGGTTGACGGAAGGGAGAGAAATCGAGAATTAGAAAGAAAAATCGCCGAGACGAAAAGGAAGAACGACGATCTCGAAGCACAATTGTACTAATTTTCTAATTTCCTTTCAGACAGGCTCAAACTAAAATATAGATAAAGTTCGAAGTTTTCTAGAAGAGCTCGAAATACGGAAGTGAGAGACGGAAAAGCCAAGATTGGAGAGCTCGACGGGAAAATCAACGCGTTGCAGAGCAAAAACTCTGACCTCGAAAACCAAATGTGAGTGTTTCTGGTATCTCTTGTCGACTGGGACTTGAGAAAACAGTTTTTTCACTCCTAAAACACCCATTTTTGGGAGAAAAGCGAAATTGATAGAATAAACAATAAATCTCAATGACAAAACTTTTCAGGAATGAAATCCAACAAGAACTCGTCGAGGCTCGAGGAAAAATCTGCGGACTCGAAACGGAAATGTGGGTGAAATCAAAAATCTTGAAGAATTGAAGCTCATCTTTTTCAGTCAATGTGAACAAAAGGAGAGAAGTGATGAATTCACGAAGATCAACTCGAAAATCTCGCAAAGTGATGATCGATCGACGAAGATTGGTGCTGATTTGAAGGAGATGTGAGTCTCGAGATTCCTTCTAGAAATATCTCAGGATGAGACACTTTTAGAGATTCCAAAGTCGCCGAAATGTCAAGGAAAATGGAGGCTGATTTGGTTGACGAAAGGCAGAGAAATCGAGAATTGGAAAGGAAAATCGCCGAGATGAAAAGGAAGAACGACGATCTCGAAACCCAATTGTACTAATTTTGTGACTTTCTTTTCTGACAAGCTCAATATATAGTTAAAATGCGAACTTTTTTCAGAAGAACTCAAAATACAGAAGTGAGGGAAGGAAAGGCCAAGATTGGAGAGCTCGACGGGAAAATCAACGCGTTACAGAGCAAAACTCTGGCCTCGAAACCCAAATGTGAGTTCATTTGGTTAATCTTGTTGACTGAGACCTGAGAAAACAGTTTTTTCATTCCCAAAACACCCATTCCACTCAATCCAATCAACTGCCCCCTTAACAATTTAAAATGGAAAACAAAATGGCCGAACTCATGGGGTTGCGGGCAGATTTATGCGTTTTTTTTAAAGAAATAGATTGAGTATTTGTCTAAAGGATCTGGACTAATGTTTTCCGAAAAAATTCAGGAATCGAACCATGAATTTCTTGAATCTGTATCGGGACGGATGGTCGTATTTGGCAAAAACCGCTTCTTGGTACAAGGTTTGGTGGATGTTGTGAGCCAGGATTATCTTCATCTCAAGGTTAGCGATCAAAGAATTTCATTTGATGAAGCCGAGGCATATTGTGCGAGTCAAGAGAGCCATTTAGTCTCAATTCACAGTCAGGAAGAGAACGATTTTGTTCAGAAACTCGGTAAGAAATCGAAATGATTCAATTCTAAAAATCTATGATTTTCTTAGAAATTTATGCTTTATAAACCAAAAACAACCGATATTTATTTCAGCGAGAACTGTTCCGTGGTATAATCATTTCTGGATCGGACTGAAGGTTGAATTTTTCTAATTGAAAGACATAATTACATAAAAAGTAATGATCGGATTGGGGGTTCCGGATCGGGATAAAGGTTGAATTTTTCTTATTGAAAGACATAAATAAATATATAGAAACTAATGATTCTTTCAGTCATTTTCGGAAGGCTCTTTGTAAAAAAAGATTCGTGTGGCTGATAGTTCTTTGATAGAAATAATGGTTTCAAATGACAATTTCAACTAGCATAATTTCAAAAGGAAAAAGAGAATCGGATCGAAATATCAATGTCTAAACATAAAAATTTCTTTATTCAGAGAAATTCGAACAAAGAAAACGCTTTTGAATGGACGGATGGAAGTTTGGTGGATTTCACGAATTGGAATGTTGGACACCCGAATTCTGACACCCACGCTTTGGTGAGATTTTCGACTTGAAATTATCGATATTGATTGCAATTTCCAATGTATAATTAAAATTGATCAAAACATTTTGATCAATCTTAGGAGTTTTTTTGTGACGCAGAGTGGATTTCCATCAGAAATGAACTTGTTTCAGCTTCGGAGCCTCGAGGGGAAATGGATGGCATATCCTCCTAATTCTCAGGCTCATTTTATCTGCAAAATGAGCTCTCAATTCTGATAAATGTCTTGTGTTCTTTTCTTTGGACAAATACCAATAAATCTTATTTTATTCCATCTTCTGAAAACACACAACTGCACATTATCTTTTTTCTTGATTTCTGAATTGTTTGTTCAAAATCTCATATGAAGTTCTCCCAAAAACCCAGAATTCCGCCTGAAGCTGCAAGTATTTTGCTCACTCATCGCTCCTGAATAGACTATTAGATAAACGTGGTGAACATCAATGAACATCAGCACGAGGAAACTGACAATTCTTCGTGAAGGTCGCTCTTCTCGTCCTTCAACTCGTCGATTTACCTTTGATTTTTGTTCTCTCTTTTTGTTCTCACCGTTAGTTCTATAGGCGGAGATTTTTGTCCCTTTTTGGATAATCTTAACGATGAAGCAAGTACAGTACCGAGCAAAAGTCTTGCAACATCACTTTTTCAAAAAAATCGATGAAATTTTTTTATAGAAAATGCCACCCGTTCGTAGGGCTTTTTTGTTTTTAATTAGAATAATATATGTACACTTTATTTACAAAAACAAATTTAAAGTTCAGCGTAAAACAAAAAAGTAAATGACAAAACTACTAAAAAATACCCTAAAAACTGGGTGCAAAAGTCTTGCAACATTATACAGAAACATCAAAAATTAATATTCAATTGGTCTCTTTTTGGCTAACCTTAACGATTATGCAGGTAGATAATGTCTGTATGTATTGTAGATATAATGAGCTGTCTATGTCTTCATAGTCAAAAGCGAATGAAATCCCATTCTCCGACGAAATTGATTCGATGAAATCATTTAGCTATGTACATATTAATGATATTGTACATTATACTCTTTCAACAACTCTGTTCCATTCACAGACAAACCTGACTAATTGATTTTAACAAAGATCCTTTTTCAATCCAAGGAGTCTCTATTAGTCCAAATTAACTAGAAGAACGGCATAGATCGAAAGGCGAAAGCGCGGAAGGAGGTGATTCGATCGAGAGGCGATCAATTTGTTATCATTTTGCAGATTAGCTCAAGTGCCTAAAGATTAGGAACAAAATAAGACACAGTTATCATGGAGATCAGAAAAGACAGAAACTTGTGTGGGCTTGAATGAAAACTTTATTATTGTGGGTAATATTAAATGATCGTAATGAAGAGAGATGCTTTCAAACAATGATCATCAATCACATTTTTTAGACGTCGCCATTCGTGAAGTATCTTGAATCGTTTTCGTTCGCTGAAATAAATATCGATTGTTTTGGTTTATCAAGTATAAATTTCTACGAAAAACATCAATTTTCAGAATTGAATCATTTTGATTTCTTACCGAGTTTCTGAACAAAATCGTTCTCTTCCTGACTGTGAATTGAGACTAGATGGCCCTTTCGACTCGCACAATCTGCCACGGCTTCATCAAATGTCATTCGTTGATCGATAACCTTGAGATGAAGATAATCCTGGTTCACAACATCCAAACCTTGTACCAAGAAGCGGTTTTTGCCAAATACGACCATCCATCCAGATCCAAGAAAGTCATCGTCCGATTTCTGAATTTTGAAAAACTTTACTTCAGACTTTTAGACAAATACTCAATCTATTTCCTTAAAAAAACTCACAAATCTGCCTGCCACTTCATGTTTCGGCCGTTTTGCTTCTTTCAAATTGTCTAGAGAGGAATTGATTGGATTGAGTGGAATGGGTGTTTTGAGAGTTAAAAAAACTGTTTTCTCAAATCTCAGTCGACAAGAGATACCAAATAAACTCACATTTGGGTTTCGAGGTCAAAGTTTTTGCTCTTCAATGCCTTGATTTCTTCGTCTTGCACTCCAATCCTGGCTTTTCCCTCTCTCACTTGCGTATTTCGAGCTCTTCTAAAAAAGTTCGAAAAAGCAGCAAAGCTCTATTACCGTCTTCGCCTTTCTGGAGAAGCTTTACGTTTAGGAGATCGTGACCTAAATCAGCTGTAAATAAACCAAGACAATCTTTAAAACTAACCGTCTCCGCCTTTTCGGTGAGCGGTCGCGACGTCTGCGTCTTTCTGGTGAACGTTGATGTTTTACCATTATTTCATTGCCATAAAGCTGAGTTCTGACAAGTGCATCACACAACAGCAACAACATTTCCTTTTAATTCACATGTAAACTTTCTAGTTTATAGGCATTGCGTTTGATTCATGCACCATGAACCGTTAATATAATTAACTCAACAAATTATACTTTATTCATGAAAATATGGAAGCGATCAATAATCACGTTACACACTCAACAAGTTAGCAAAATGATAAATAATGAAAACTAGGCGATCAACCTTCCGAGTCTTCGGCGCCTCCGATGTAGAGAGTGTTGTTGCACCTAGATTTCAACAATTAGAAACAAAACACAAAAGTCACACTTATTAACCATATTAAAATCTCTCCCAAAGCTCCAGTGTTTGTTCCATCAATGTATTCCTCCGCGTTAGCCATCTAAAAGATAAAAATTTATTTGTGAATGCCTAGGCGTAAGCAAGCTTACTCGTCATATATCTGACTTTTCACAACAAAATTTAGAACGTACCTCTCCAAACTAGCTTTAAGCCATGCCATAAAAACTTTAGACAAAGACAACCCCACCTGGGCATTCATGTAACAGTCGACCGAGATGAGGACGCCTCGATATTCCATTCCCCACTACAATCTGCACACAACTGGCTTTCCGGCGGGTCCATTGAGGAACGGCTTTGGGTTGCCTGGTTGGACCGACATTCTCTGAAAACTAGATTAAAAACGAATTTAAGTAGATAAAACGTTAAAAGAGCAAGATTGACGCGGGAAGGAGTCCTCGTAATCAAAAAGAACGGTTTCTCGGAATAATTTTTGGATGAAAAGGATTCGCATACAAGACAGGCATATAACTAGGCGCTTTATGGAGGGACAGTGTGGTTTTTGCACGAGAGAAGAGAACGGGTCGCAGAAATAGAAAAAATGTAAGATTGGCTGATTCAAGAGCACGCGAAAAATAAAATAATTGCTCGACTGAACTCTTTTAAACCGCTAGAAGTAAGTTAAAGATATTCAGCCAAATAATGAACTTCTGCATTTTTTGAAATAAAATGCTTATGAGAGTGCTTTTTGAGAAATTTTCGGCGCCAAAGCTTACACCTTTTTTAAACATTTTTTTTATTTTGGTGATACTAGCTGAACGCCCCTCTCTTCATCTCATTATTTTACCTTTTTTTCGTCATAAAAACACACAAAATCATTTAAGCAATTTTTCAAGAGGGCGATACTGGCTTGCCCCATGCTCCACTCTAAATTTTGCCTCTTTTTTAGGCGATTTCGCCTATAAAGGCATACAAAACATTAGCTTATTTAATTTCTTCCTAGATACTTTAATCTTTCTTCCAAATAATTTGAATTTAATTTAGTTTTAAAGGTCGGCTTATTTCACAATGCCAAATTGTAATTCAAAAAATTAATTTGGTTATTATTCTTTTATCAATTTTCGCATTTGCTCTTATATTCTATTCTATTCCGTTTGTAGTTTATTTTACAATATCGAGCAAAAGTCTTGCAACATCACTTTTTCGAAAGAATCGATGAAATTTTTATAGAAAATGCCACCTGTTCGTAGGACTTTTTTTTATTTAGAATAATACAT